AAGAAAAGAAAAGAAAAGAAAAGAAAAGAAAAGAAAAGAAAAGAAAAGAAAAGAAAAGAAAAGAAAAGAAAAGAAAAAGGCTGTAGGAGTAAAAAAAAAACCTGTTGATTCTTTTTTTAATCATAAATAATTTAGAAAAAAATATTTTGTTCATGCTTAATAGAATTCCATACATTTCCTTATAAGTTCTCAATGAGGCTTAATTTCAGCTGACTGCAATTTGAGTTTTTTTTTTGAAATCATGTGTATAGTCTTTTCATGGTGTATTATTTCCTTAAAAATTAAGATATGTAAGGAATCTAGCAGCTTGAGTTGTTAATAAATATTGCACAATAGAATTTTTAAAAAGGCTGAAATATAAAGAATTAGAAGTGCTATAGGAACCTTAACTCAGAGTGTGATTAAAATCTTGAATAAAGATTATTGTATATAATATTCTTTATCTTTATTGGTATAGATTATTGCATATAACATTCTTCATTGTGCAGCTGGATTTAACCCAAAGGCATCATAATTGTTGTGGTCATACAAAAAAGCTTGTTGATTTGGTTCTCAAGATAGATGAATCTTTAATCTTTTATGTGCTTACTGGAAACGTGTATCCAATCATCAAGTGTTTAAATGTCTTTTATTACTAGTTAGGAGTATAACTTTAAATAGAAATGACTAGGTTGCCCTAATATTATCATTTAATAGAGCATTTCAGACCCTGAAAAAATCATTCATAATGTTTATTTTAACCTCACTCTTTCTCTCAGGTACTGGAGATACAGTGAAGACATAGGAACTATGGACCCAGGTTACCCCAAATCGATCACAATCTGGAAAGGTATCCCAGAATCACCTCAGGGAGCCTTTGTTCACAAAGAAAATGGTATGTAGCTCCTTGTGAACACAAATGCTTCCTCCTTCCTTCCTCATATATGTTACTCATCCACAGATTATTTATTCAAAGGGTGCTTCATTACTTGAATGTGCATCCCCAAAACAATGCAACAAAGATATAATTTAAGATATCTGATAACTGGAGTAGTCCCAAGGCCTTTTTAATATATGGCATTGCATTTATACTCAGGGTAAGTCACATCTTTAAATAATCTCTTTTTCCCCAAGCTTGTAGCTGGGGGTGGGGGGAGGAGGGGGGTCAAATTGGACCATGACTCAGTTTTGTTTTGTTTCTTTTTAATGCCATTTTTCTACAGCTGAGCCAGGCATCCTGTAGTAGATCTCCCTCCCATTTGCTCGAGAGGCAGGGCTTAGGACTTACTTCCTGTGGAAGGGGATAGCCCCTTCCCAATTCCAGCAGGGATCACACATGTTCATGAGATGTTAGCAGTCCACGTATCCATTTTTTTTTCTTTTTTTCCTTATTCTTTCTCTTCAGTAAACCTTATTAGGCCCAATAGCCAGCAAGACTTGGGAGAGCAATTTTCTGTCCGTTAATGTGTCAGAGGATTGTCTGGTGGCTAGGGTGGAATGAGGGGACTGGGCCCCAATGTGCCATGTACTCCATTATCTCACCACACACCCACCCTTTGGGAAACAAAACCAATGGCATGGCTGCTGAGCCACTCACAGCTTCTAGCAAGCTGATTATCACTCTTCCAGAGAATTGACAGCCAGGGCTCCAGAAGGAATGGAAGTTGGTGATTCTGGATACCTAAAGTGGCCAGCACCTTTTACTGAGGGTACCCCCGTGCTAATGGGCCCTCAAAAGCTCATTCTATCCCACAGTCCAAAGGTACCCAGAGATGTTTATGAGATCTTCAATCATGCCATAACCTCTCTGGAACAGGTTTGCTTAGTCAGCCCTACCTCCAGGTAGATTAAGACTTGCCCCAAACTAGCTTGGAAGACACACAGCAAACCTTCCCTACAGGGAATTGTAAGGTACTCCACTAGAAGAGTGCAGCTGCTTCAGCTACCTCCACACTCTGGGAGATACGTGAAAGGCTGCCACACAATCCTCTGTGTTTTCCTTTATTTGACACTATAAGCTTGACTGATATACCTCAGCTAAGGCATCCTTCAGTAATAGGGTACTGCAGAACATAGTACTATCAAGGACTAGGGGCCCACCTGATGAAAGTTGTGATCCTCCAGAACAGTTTTGGTATGTCTCACTACCAAATGTCCTGGCTCTGCTGTAGGAAAAGGAGACATTGGATTTACCATGAGAGTCCTTTTTCAACAGAGAGACAGAGGATCCAACCCACCCAGAGAGTATCAGAAAGGAAAGGGAGGGGGACATCTTAGGGTCCCATCAGTAACCCTAAGTAGTTGTCACATATCTTCTCTTTACCCTTATCTTTTTCAGACATTCTGTTTGAGCCCTTTTTCTAGCTTGTCATTCTGAAATTGGGAAGCTATGTTCCCCTCCTCTGGAGACCTTCTTACAGAAGTAGGTCCAGAAGAATACAGTTCCTGCTTCAGAGCAAGTGGGAAGAGATGGAAAAATGTTGAGGGACAGAATTTTTCCCACAAACCATCTAAATGGAAATGTACCATTCTAGAAGTCTGCTCAAAACAATCCTTCCTGGACTTTATCAGAATGAACTAATCCATAATTAGAAGTTCTGCTGCACTGGGGACTGGAATGAGCTGCAGTGATTTACTATTGATTTATTGAATTTTTATGCCCTCAAAAAATAAGTATGTAGTTAGTTAAAATGCCATTAAAAGGTACCACACTATAAAAATCAACAGAATAATTCCACATTAAAAAAAAAAAAACAGGTACAGCAATAAGAATGGCAATAAATGCAAGATAAAATCCCAGCGCTGAAATTGTAACACGAATGCTGAATTTCTAAAGAAAGTGAAATGGTTTTTAAAATACCTGGGAAAACAAAAAGCACCCAAAGGACCGTAGCATACATGCTGGTGAGCTTCTTGTGGAAGAATGTTTCACAGACAGGGTACCATTGAAAAGTCCTTTTCTGTTCACCCAAAATTTTGCCATTTTTTATTAGGAGAGATGGAAGAGGACTGTAAATGGGAAACTACTGTCTTACTGTTCCAGAAGCTATGATTACAGCAGACCTATATTATATATTGCATAGGTCTAGCTAAAGTATATTGCATATTTCTGTGAACATCAACTACTGAACTGAGTTGAAGTTCAGAAATATAATGTGCATTATATTCTTGATTATGAAGGCCTCCATTGTATGCATAATACTTGTTGCTTTGGGCTGTTGGCCATTTGATTGCAAAGTCTTCAATTTCCAAATACAATTATAACCAGTTGTTGGGCTACTAGCACTGCACATGGGATTGATTGATCAGAGATTTATTTATTTTTACTTGTATTTATTCATGACAGGTCTCCAGTACTATCCTGTTTTTGTTTCTCTGCAAATGATATGTGATATTTCTTTCCTGATTAAGAATTGTTTCATCCTTTGGCTCAAATCTCTAATTGCTCTAGAAACACTTTCTTCCCAGGAATATATTTAATTACTTCCTTGCTTTAAGTCTGTCTTATCCATCAATAGAAGCTCTTTTCAGAACAATGCCTTTAACTAGAGAAGTTTTTTGCTTCCTTTTTTCAGAAGGAAAGTGATTCAGAAAACATAGATCTCTCTCTCTCTCTCTCTCTTTCTCTCTCTCTCTCTCTCTCTCTCTCTCTCTCTTTCATTTTTATAATCATTAAAAGCAAATTATCCATGTTGCAGGTATAGCTGCATGTCTGGTAGACTCATATCTACATGGTACATAACAGGAATATTTATTGGTTTTCCAGTCTTTAAATCACACTGAACTTTGGTTTCTAAAATGTTGGCAAAGAAATATCAAGCAATAAAACTAAAAAGAAAGCAGGTTTCTTTTTTTTTTTTTGGGATTGTTGTTTTTTAAAGCTAAACTTAAGAAATTCTCTGGATTCTCAGAGAAGAGGAAAAAAAAAGGAGTTATCTGCTGAAGCCTGCAGAAACAGCACTGGGGATTGTACCCCAAAGTCAGGACTCAATTGGCTATTGTATTAAACTGAAGCAAGCAAGGATACATAGGAGAAACACCATACCTACTTTCACAGAACTCTGATTAAACTTTGCCTGCAGTCATTTCCCTTCTCCTCTTCAGAGATTTGACTTGAAACTGTACCACATTGCTTTAGGGGAAAAGGTTCAGAGGAGCTGCTTCCAGTTCAGCATCTTACATTAATCCTTTTGGCTCTCTTGTTCATTTGGGTGGGGGGTGGAGGGGGCTGGAAGGAAACAGGAAAACATGACAGCTGAGAAGTAGGAGGCTATGTTTAGATTTAAGCTATTGAAGTCATAGAACTTATGCTACCTTAAAAGCTTTTTACTAATATATTAAAAATGCTCACAGTGGGGTTTTTTGGCAGGGTCAATTTAGCCAGTTTAAACAATACATATATGTTGTGTGTGTGTTTGTGTGCAATGCATATAAACAAAAATAATTACAAGAAATCTAGATTTCTCCTAGGTTTCAGCAGAATGTAGGAATATGGTATGGGGTTAAACTATGTAAAAAACTGGAGTTGCTATCCAAATGTTGCACACACCCTTCTATATCCAGTTTTCCTATGTATTATACCATATCCTTTGCTAAATCATCATGTGCAGTGGCATCATCGTCCTGAGTTTTCCTAATCCCTGGGAGTAGTAGATCAGCCAATTCAAATTCTCTACGAAATTTAGTGTGCTAATTATTGAACAGTACATTACTTCATTAAATATCCAAACATTGCTGCACTTTGCAATCACTAGGGGAGGCTTAACTTCTCCACCCCAGTGATTTTGGCTGCACTGAAAGCACTGGAAGGGAAAGTTACAGCTGCATTGAGCTCACTGGGGAAAGAAGGTTACAGCCTCCTTCAAGCAGCAAGCTCAGTGCAATGGAAGCATTGGGAGGTACATGGCAGAGTAAGGGGAAACAGATCGCTTTCCCACTTTCCTCAAGGAAGGTGGCTTCTCCAGATCCCTCTCTGTTCTGTTGAAGGAGTTGCTAATCAGGATCCAGCTTCAGATTAGAGAAAGTTAAGAGCAAACTGCCAAGAACAGATTTTGAAAATATTAACCAGAATGGAGAAAAAGAGGAAGTATTCCTTTCTCTTAAAAACAGCTGAGGACTGACTCATAGACACCTATGCTGTGATGGCAGTGGAATAAGAGAGAGTAAAAAGAGGCAGCTAAGAGGTCAAGGAAGATGAGGTGTTTGGGGAATGGTGCAAAGGAATGTTTTCTGACAGCTTAAGAAAATTATGTTGGTCCAAAATAAGCCATTTCTCCTCACCAGCAGCTTTTTGTCAGAACCGACGGACCATACATGACAGACTGCGAGGGGTTTCCTTATAGTAACCCAAATATCATCATGATGTTATTGTTTTCCTGCATTAGATCACCTTCATAGATATGATATACTTAGATGCTGTCCAGCAAGATTCCAAGTGCATTGTCTTGTAAGGTTCTCGGCTACCCAGAAAACTTGAAATCAATCAGCAGCACAAAATAAAAGACTTCAAGCAGGGACTTTTCTAAGCAGCATTTTATGTGGCCAAGCAAAAGTCTGGGTGCCCACACCATGTACCAAGAGAGAGCAGGGTGGCACACCTTGGAGACAAAAACACAGCTTTTTTATAGTATTTTTAAAAGGGCAAAACTAATTAACATTATAATGAAGATAAGTTTTACAGCCAGTCAAAGAAACTTAAACAGAATACATTATTTCCCGCCCC